CTGGTTAGTCTCTTATGAATACTTGCTACACAGGTTGCTCTTGAGCTGCAAACAGATCGAGATTAGACTTGGTCTGAAGCCTGAAGTGTCAAGTGTGAATCCAGTTGGTGTGGTCTTTACCCTGGTGGACCAGGTTGGCTTGGAGCGATACGCCCGACAGATCACAGGTTCGACCTTCGACACGAGAAGCCTTGGGCACGAGAACTCAACCAGCCTCCACACTATCGCCAACCCACCATGCCTATTCCCACATCACCCGCGCGATTTCGAAACCTCCCTTCAGCCGCCCTGTTCTCGCCCCCGCGCATTCTCGCTCTCCACTCTCCAATCTCCAAAGACCCTCGCTCTCACGACCTGCAATACAAATACTACCAGGCTGCACAGCCGACCGCATTGCATCGACGACCTGGCGATCCTGACTGACCGCAATGCCGGGACGAACCCAATAGCTGCGAACTAAACTAAATTGTGGACATGATTGCAGTCAGATACATTTAGACATTTAGTAGAGTAGAGGAAGGCCCAGAAAAAGGCCAAACAAAGGGGCAACACTGCATCTTTCCATGTTCTGAAGAAGGATTCAGTCTCATTTGCACGGTCGGCGAGTAAAAGAACAGAAACGAAACCTACATGCATCTAACCGCAACTCTGTCCACCCCCAGACATTCCAAAAAAAAAAGTAAAAAAACAGAAATGAAACCTACATGCATCTAACCGCAACTCGGTCCACCCCCAGACATCTAGCCTCAACTCAAAACAAAAAGTGAAAAAACAGAAACGAAACCTACATGCATCTAACCGCAACTCTGTCNGCAACTCGGTCCACCCCCAGACATCTAGCCTCAACTCAAAACAAAAAGTGAAAAAACAGAAACGAAACCTACATGCATCTAACCGCAACTCTGTCCACTTTCCCCCCCCCCCAAAAAAAAAAACTCTGTCCCACTCCCAGACATACAAAAAGAAGTAAAAAAAAATACCTTTCTCGGCCTTTTGGCTAAGATCAAGTGTAGTATCTGTTCTGATCAGTTTAATATCTGATCCGTGGTCCATCGGACCACACAATATGAAATTATTTTTTCTGGGCTACGGAGGGGTCGCACGAGTAAGCTTGCTTGCTCGACCCTTCCCGCGTTGCCTCTGTATCGTGCAGAGTCCTGCAACTAGGACTGAAAAATAGGTGTAAGTGGGTATAGGGCGTCGACCGGTAATCGGACCGTTCGTTACATTGGGAGATCGACGGGGACCGTTCGTTACATTGGGAGATCGACGGAGGCCATGCTACTCTCGAACCGTGAAAAATGAGACTGACTGAATCCTTCTTTAGAACATGGGAAGATGCAGTGTTCAGTCGCATCCGTTTTTTTTTTGTACTTTTTTTTTTTTTACTATACAATGAATAGAATAAAGTAATTATCTATAATATAGTTCTATAATATAGTAATTTATTTATTCTATCTATATTTGATTATTCTTATATTGTATTATGTTAGCATGGCCTCCGTCGATCTCCCAATGTAACGAACGGTCGGATAACCGGTCCACGCCCTATACCCACTTACACCTATTTTTTAGTCCTAGTTGCACGACTCTGCACGACAACACATCCGCCAACATTGTGAATGCAGCTGGACAACGTAGCTGCCTCGGTGCACTCGTCCCCACCGGACCCTAAAGCTAGGTTGTATACATCCTGGCTGCGAAAACGCATCCATCTATAGGCAGCCATCCTGGCTGTGAATGTGGCGATCAGTGGAACGAGGCCCTACGCACCGAAAGG